TGATGAGTGGTGTATGATGAGTGGTGTATGATGAGTGGTGGTTGAACAGCTGTTGAATGTCCGTAACACGGAAGTTTTGCACACTAAACTTCCTTTGGTTACAAATACAGTATGTCACAACATCTGGCAGCTTGGAGTTTGCCAGTTTGTATGCTTGAGATGCACAGCAGCATTGTAGGCTAATTGGTTTGGCTGGTCGAGGCTGGACCCTTATGGCTCAGCATTGTGGCCCTCAGCCTTGGCTGCCCGCTTAGTTTGCAGCCCGTTAGGTGCGCTGTTGAGCAGCTTGTGGTGCTGAGGTTCTTGCACAAGCTGTGGCAGCTCACGTGAAGCTAAAGCCACAGCAACGCATCCTGGAGTGACGAGCGCGCATGGCAGCATGGCTGTTTGTGATTAACTTGCATGGCTGCCGCTTTCGGCTTATCCAACTCACAGCCTCTCGAACTTTCTTTCTCCGACCACGCTGTAGTGCGCCGGTGAAAACCTTTGAGAGACCCTTGACGATGATCATTTGCACATGGCAGAATCAAGAGGGAGGATTCTGATGAATTCTGCAGTCAGATGTCAGATGCGTAGAGAAGTGGCAGGCTGCTAGGCCCTAGGCCCTAGGCCAGTGTCAAAGGATATTAGGTTGGAGGCCATCGCCATTAGGTTTATCAAAATATGAACACTCTTTCCGGTCATGTCACCATATCAAAGGCTGCGATCTTGGTTGTGATCCAGGAGCTTGGTGCAGGATGTGGTTTGGCTTCATTGCTGGCATGGAGCTGAGCCAAGCACTGACAACATAGCCCAGAGCCCCTTTGACAACACGTCAGGCTTAGGAATGCCAATGCATAGCAGGGCACGAGGCATAAACGTACATATACATATATATATAGTACAATATGGTGGTTGTAGAGTGGTATAGGCATTGACGCAAGGAGAGTTATTTTGCAGCTCGCCAGCACACTTCTTGATCACATTGCCTTGAGGCTGCGCGTTTGGGCGGTGATGTCTTGGCAACTGACTTTCGTCAGCTGCCTTTGCAGCTGCTCCGTGCAGCTGCCAGGCGCCAGGTGCCTTGCCGGTGGAGAGAATCAGTCAAGATTAGTGAAGGCAACAGGATGCAGCAATGTAGCAATCTAGCAAATAACACGTGCTGGTACTGTGCTCCACTGAAGCCTGATTGAAGCCTGATTGAAGACTCATCCACGCCGAGAGTTCTTGGAGGTTGGGGACTTGGCATCTTCGCTTGGGTGGCAGGCCTTGCGGATTCGTACGGCTCAGCTAGACATCAGCGAGCTCTCTGTGCCGCTACCGCCAGCAGAGCTGGTGGTGGCGTCAGATGCAGGGGCCCAACGAGTTGTGTTTTGGGTGCCTTGGCACAGTCCTTGCCAATCTAAAATCCATGTCAATAGTTCTGAGCCAGTCCCAGAGAAGTCCCAATTGACAACAACACTTTACCAATTTGGTGCAATGTTCACTTACTGTACGTAGTTGGTTTTGACCTTTGAGGATGATTGAGGATGTTTGCTGCTCAGCCCACGCATCGTCTCGATTGAAACCATACTCATCCTTGTTCTTTGGCTCAGCTGTTTCATTGCCCAAAGACGAGGGTCAAACAACTCTTTGTCTCCTCTATCAACTCCTTCGACGAAGATGGGCTGGGGCGGCTGTGGAAAGGATTGGGGAGCTGGTGGCGATGGAGGCTGGGGTGGTGGTGGCTGGGGCGGAGGAGGAGGAAAGGGCTTTGGAGGCAAAGGCTTTGACAAAGGCTGCAGTGGCAAAGGCTACGGAGGTGGATGTGGCAAGGGCGGAGGACCTGGCAGCAATTGGGGTGGTGCTGGCGTTTGGCAGCCCATGTTCAACCCCATGATGGCGATGATGATGAAGGGCATGGGCAAGCAGACCACCGGGCTTCGCAACTTTGCCAATGACAGGAAGGTTTGGGTTGGAGGTCTGCCCGCCAATCAAATGAGCAAAGAGATCAACATGAAACTCAAGGAGCACATGTCCACAGCTGGCGTCACTTGCCTCTATGCCGAGATTGGCAAAAGTGGCAGCGGAGGGGCTGCCTTCAAAAGCAACTCAGAGGCGATGACTGCAGCGGCTGCCCTGAATGGCTCTGAGTTCGAGGGCGTGATGTTGCAGGTAGATATGTGGGGCAAGAAGCCTCCAATGTAATTCGACCATGACATGTGCGGATGTTGTGCAGCTGTTGTGTGATTCAAGATGCTAGTAGTTGAGCCAGTCAGCTGTTCTATGCCTCAAGAATCAACATACCTCAACCTATTTGTACGCCGTTAGGCATGCTTGGTTATTTGTGACTTGACGCAAGTTCGTGTCACCACTCCGGCGTGCGTCCCGTGCGCCACACGGTGCTCACGCAAGCTAATGGGTGTGCTGCAGTGCCGAGCTGGGCTTCAGGAGCATCAGCCACATGGAGTACACGTGGAGTATAAAGAAAGTTCGCTACGTCTTTTCAGGGTGCCTTGAGTGGGGCATTGCCTGCCAAGCAACCTAACCTTGACAGTTTCAAGCTTTGCAGCGGCTCAGTCATAGGCATGTTGTTTTAAAACCTTGCGCTGGCGAGGTTTTGTACGAGAAGGGCACAGCAGATGGAATGGCACATCGTGTGGCCGAAGCGGTTCGACGTGGAAGCGCAGGGCGCTCGGACGATGGCTGGGTCCCGGGTCGAGGGGTGGGGGCACTCACGTGTCTTGATGCGCTGAGGGTTCTGGTTCGCTGCTTCGTTGAGGCTGTTCTTGTAGCCGATGTTGGACGGCCAAATCGCAGCCTAGCTTCAACAGCCCGATTGGCCTATGCACATGCAGGGAGCCATGACTTCCCGAAGTCCATTCCGAGCGGAGCCCAGGCAAGGCCTTCATGACACAACTCAGAGATTTGCTTCCAGAAGTGGAGATAGGCCAGGAACTAACAGCAAATGGCCAGCTGATTGAAGCACAGTATTGTGCTTGTGCCACACCAAGCCACCAATGTGTACTCTGCAAATCTCTGCAAGAAAAAGGCAAATGCATATTGTATGTGACAACGTGTATACGGAAACAATGTGTCAGGATGCGCTACGGCCGAGAGCAACACATGTCAGAGCATTCATGGGCCTTTGTCACGCTTCATTCTTCCCTGCAAGCAGCTCATTCAAACGGCGCATTCGTCTTCTTCTTTGCAAAGCGGTTTTGGAATACCGTAAAGTACATGGCTGCGCAGGCTTCAAAGCTGGGTGTTTGGAAGAATCCTTTCGCCAGGCAGCGATTTCACAACCGAAGGCATGGCCATTCAGGAGACTGTCCGGGACTTGCTGGTGAGATGGGTGCAGGTACTGGTAGATGTTCAAGAATTGAAAGGGTGCGGCAGCCGAACATTGGCAGATAGAATGTACTATAATGATCTATAATGTACTGCAATTTTTCCATGGGGATTTGCATGCATACTAGTAGCAAGTGCATCGCTACTAGCAACAAGAAGCCACTATAGTAGCTATTTGCCACTAGTAGTAATGCACTTGTCACTACTAGCGATGCACTTGTTACTACTGTTACTAGTAACAAGAATGGACTTTTGCCAAGTGAATTTCTGGTCGCCAAGGATGGACCTCCCTCACCATCCCGTGAAGTGCCTGTGCAGCTGCTGGAGATCCTGCAGCACGCGCACACACACACACACACAGACACACCAACAATGTTGACAAACATGCCTCCTTGGCCAGCGTCAACGGTGATTTTTGGTGGTATGCTGAGATGAATTTTGAGCCATGTGTTCTGGTGACAAGCGATGCTGTGGCCTTCCTTGTGAGGAGCTTCCAATGAATGGCCCTGCTTCCCAGACTGTCCGGGCCGCAGTGATCACGCGTCAGGGTGCGGTGACAATGGTGCTGTATGATCTTGCTGAGGTGACTCCAGCCATACCAGTGCATGCCTCAGCCGAATCCAAGTTTTGGTGGAGCCCGCCGCCACAGCTATTTTCAGATTTCCTCCAAGTACCCAAGCATGCATACATACATACATACAAACATTCATTCATACATGCATGGCACCTTCACTGTGCCGAGATCCTTGGATGGATTTGCACGTACATCCTCAGAGTTTGTACCAGTAGCCTTGATCTGCCACAGAGGGCCAAGCCACAACACGGGGCATTACTTCGCAATCCTCATCTACCGTGACCTGATGTGGATTGCTGATGATGGCAAGCCGCCCATACACCTGGAACACCTGACACCCCAATTGGCCAGTCAGGTCACACAAGTCTGGGCGGTACACATCGACACTTTCAGAACGACGCAACAAGTACTACACTCATTGCCGCCCCCGGAGGGCCCCAGATTTTGATCCTCCCCTCCATCCAAGCCCAGAGAAACGACCACGATTAGAACAACAACACAACCAGCTCCATTTTGCCAATGTCACCCATTTTGGCAAACAAGTGCTTGATTGGTATTGGTCTCGGCAAAGTGAAGTGTACATCCTTGTGGAAACTCATCTAGATCCACAACAGCACCAGCAGACCTGCCAATACTTCACCATCAGGGGCAGGACAGCCTTTGGAACACCGGCCGTGACCAATGAGAGCAACACAGGGACACACGGTGGCATCCTTGTGCTCGGAGATCCCTCCTGCGGACTCACGCCATTAGAATCCTTCACCAACCAAGGCTGTGGATTCCAAGCTTTCCTCTGGCAGGCGACGGAATGCACCATCCTTGTAGCTGGCATCTACATGAAAACTGGTGAAACCTTGCAGAGTGACACAAACGCCACCATCCTGGCCCGTCTACTTGCTCTCATACAAGCCACCAACCACCCCTTTGTGCTCCTTGGGGATTGGCAAAACAGCCCAGGCAGTATCACCAGCACGGTATTGCCATCCAAATTTCACTTTGAAGTGCTTGCACCGGACCACAGCATCCTCTCGGGCAATGTGATTGACTATGCCCTCATCCATAGTCAGCTGGCCGGCACCACAGCCCTCACGACTGACTGGGCAATCCCATGGAGGCCACATGCACTTCTCAACTACCACTTCAACATTGAAGAAGCCACCAAAGAGTACAGGCAGATCCAGTACTTGGGTGTCGTGTACAGAGCAGTATCTCCTCCAAGAGCATCCCTGGGCAGCCCAAGGCCGGGGAGCAAGCCTCAGGGCGATCTTCAAGCCGCTGGCACCAAGCACCACGGTGACCACTTGGAAACGAGGTGGTTTGCTTACGGGGAACAGCTCAAGATCCGCTTCCAGCTAGCCCTCAAGCAACCACCGCAGCAAGCGAAAGGCCCTACAATGGGTTTCATGCAGGCCATCCATGATGCACCCAAACATTGGGTTGGCCCACCAACATGGGGACAATTTCTTGACACTTGTCACCATACAGGGGTGGCCATGCTGCAGATTTGGTCCACCACACCATTGGGCACCAACTTCAAAAAGCCCAACACGCCGCCAATGATGAAAGTCACCTCCAATACAAAGAATGGTTGCAGCAAGCCCAGGCCAAAGGGCTCAAAGGGCTCTTCCGCAGCCTTCGAAGTAGTGAGCTAGCCTGGGAACGACCATACCGAAATCTGCCACCAGATGAACGGATGACCAAAAGGTTACAAGACTGGGGACACCTCTGGATCATCAGACAAGATGACCAGCCACATGAACGACCGAGCCTGCAGGCCAAACAACAATTGCAGCAGCCAGAGCCACTCACCATTGGGCATGGGTGCTCAAGCACCTGCCCGACAAGGCCTGCGGACCAGATGCAGTCACAGCGCAGCTACTCCGTACTGCACCACCACTGGCTGTCAAGGCATTGCTCAAGGTGTATCAAGAGATGGAGGCACTGGTGCAGCAACCCACACAACAGCAAATGCATATGGTTGTCATGCTCCCAAAAAACAGCAGCAAAGAAAGACCCATCACCTTGACGTCGATCCTCTACAGAGTTTGGTGTCGACTCCGCAAGCCGTTACTAGATGAATGGCAGAAGCAGTTGCCTGCCAGCATGAGCCACGATCGAGCAAGGCCAGGAGCACAAGTCCTGTATGTGGCACTTGCACGACTTTTACGACAAGAAGTACACAGAGCCAATGGCAGACATGGAGTCACTTGCCTCATGGACATGTCCACCTTCTACGACACCATCAACCTGACAAGGCTCCAAACTGAAGCACTCCGCTTGCAGTATCCTCCACTGCTGCTAGAAATGGCCATGCAAGTCTATACTGGCCCCAAGGCCATTGTGGCAGAGCAAGAAATGACACCCTTCTTCAAGGTGACAAATGGTGTCCCGGCTGGATGCCCTCAAGCACCGTTGCTTGCCAAAGCGGTGCTGGCACCTGCACTACAACCCTGGCAGGAATCCCATCCAACCATCTACCTTTCCAGCTGGGTAGACGATGTGGGATTTGACACCGCCAGTGCTACCCGTCTGCAAGCAGCCAAAGACTCAGTTGCCGCCTACAGGGACCTGCTCGAGTTGGGACTGCAGCCAAAGAAAACAGCCTTCATAGCCAGCACTCCTCCAAGAACATGAGCCTCCTGTTGAAACGGTCAGACCTGGGCATAGATCACCAAGCTGCGAGGAGACGAAGAATTCCAGTCATGAAGCAGCGCGTGGTCAAGCTCAGAAGCCTGAAGATTCCAGCACTCAAAGTGAGACTCAGGCTCCACCGAGGAGGAATACAGCCCGTCGCCCTTTGGGGAGTCGAAAGCCAAGGACTTGCTCCCAGGTACAGAGCGGCCTTACGCCAAGCCATGGCGAAGCACCTCGGCCACCGCGCGGGAGGCTTGCTTGATATCACCTATGATATCCACAGCAAACGATACATAGATCCCAGTGACCAGATCCTCATCCATCACATCAAGGCCATTCACCACCTCATCCAGGCCTGGCCACAAAGATCAACTCCCAGCCCTTGAACAAGCGTGGCAGCAAACATTTCAACAACTTCAAGCCAAGCAATACCCTTGGTACAGTTTCCGTGGACCACTGGCAGCCACCATTGTCTACCTCCAAGAATGGGGCTGGCAACCAACCGAACTCATGCATTGGATGAGACCTGAATCCAAGCTGCTCCTGGCAAATGAGCTGCACCTCCAACAACCATGGTGGCAGCTTGAACGGGCACTAACCCAGGAAGCCCAATGGCAAAGGATCTCACGATTGGCCAGCAAGCCCCACTATCAGGACCTCCTCACCGGCCTCGACACATATCGACAAGTGCGGAGGCAATTGAAGCCCCAGCACAAGCATCACCTGGACACATGGGTACAGGCAGCACTCCAGTTCCGAGATGCACACCAGTCAAAAGCTGCCCCCTCTGCCATGTACCAGCACATACTGTGGCTATGTCGTTGGCGCCGCGCCCAGCAACATGAACCAATGCCGCCTGAGTGGATGAACCGGCTGACTAGCCAGGATGAAGAACCGTTGTGGGCCCATGGCTGGATTCCTTGAACCACAAGAAGCACGTACACAACCACATCCCTACCAAGGGCATGGGTGCTGGGCCGGATTGCCAATTGTTCCACTCCAACAGCATAGTGGATGGGCCTTCACGCTGGATGCCACACCATCCTCCTACGAGGCTCGCCAGAAACATGGAGTCACGCTCTTGATGGATATGTCAACCTTCTACGACACCATCCATCTCAGTCGCCTGCAAGAGGAGGCGGTCAAACTTGGCTACCCGGTTCTTCTACTCGAACTTGCCATGCAGCTGTACTGCGGACCCACGGCCATTCTGGCTGAGCAGGAGATGACGCCATTTTTCCATGCGGACCATGGCATCCCGGCCGGCCACCCATGCTTGCAAAAGTGGCGCTTGCGCCGCTGGTTCCCTGGAAGGAGCAGCGTCCACAGGCTCATCTCTCAAGCTGGGTTGATGATGTGGTATTCGATCTCAAGGCTGACACTCCTTTGCAAGTGGCCCAGCAAGCAGTAGCAGCCTACAGAGACCTCTACAAGGAGGGCGGACAGCCCAAACAATGCCCCATCTGCCAGGTACCGGCCACCCCAAAGCACATCATTTGGTTGCGCAAATGGCACCATCAACAGCAGCACAAACCAATGCCACCGGAGTGGGCGGAGAGGATACTCCACCATCTTTGTGGAGTCATGGCTGGATTCCATTAGAACCACAAGAACAGTGCACTCTCCCGCATCCCTATGTGGGACATGGGCCCTGCAAGCCCTGGTTCCTCACCAATACCAAGGCTGGGCATAGTTTGGCCTGTGTGTTCACCACATGACCTTGGGTCAATTGCAGGGACTTGGAGCAATCGCTGGCATTCCCGGACCGCCACGCACCAAGACCAGGTCTCTCCTTGCAGGACTGGTGGCATTAGCCAAGCACACTACCGCCCAAGGTGCGTGTCATTGTTCAATTGGCCTCGGTCTGGGAAATCTGGACACACCAGCGCAAGCAAGCCCCTTTCCAAGATATCCTGGAGCAGATCACCGAGGAGGACCTGGCCCGAGTCACAGTCCTCTACGTGAGCCGAAACACCAAAACGCCCGAAGCACAAGGAAATGAACCACAGCTACGAAGAAGGCAGAGAGATGCAGCATTGGTGGCATGGGAGCGAGCCAATGCCCTCCACGACAAGAGAGACAAACAGAATGGCAGGAGATCTTGGATGCAGATCACAAGGTCATCTACCAACATGCTGCAGAAAGACTCTCGAAGATCTTTGCCAATAAGGACCACTATATCCATCAGAAAGCTCCAAAACACCAAGGCAAGCACACGAAGCAGTAAGTGGCACAATGTCAACGACCATGGACATCTCCACAGCACAGATGGACCACTCACCGCAGTGGCTACCAATGTGGAGTGTGTGGGCTCAGAATTCATCAGGCTTTAACTGTCCAGACCATTGAGGACCGCCTCCAGCAAGCCTGCCCGCAGCTCACCCTAGAGGCACAGCAGACAGAGCAGCCAAGCCCACACAAGGCTCTTCCCAAGAAGATGACTCGCATTCAAGTCATCCAGCAACTCCTTGCCAAGCAACAGCGCAAGAGCAGGATGAACCTCATCTGGACCAGCATTGGTTCGAGGAAACTGCGGGCTACCTTCGATGTGGCAAAGGTGGCTGTAGTGTACACAAGAGGGTCAACGAAGCAGCATTCAACACCTTCATCCAAAGTCCCTGTCTGGACAAAGCATATGATCAGCCCCATGAAGCGCATCCAAGCCACCACCTATGGCAGGAAGGTGACAAAGTGAGCTGCAAAAAATGCGGACTTACGCGGCATCTTGATGGCCAACACCGGGTCATACTGACAGGGGCCATCCGCAAAAGCTGCAAAGGAGCAGCAATCAGTGGCTCACCGCCACTACCTGAGCTTTTCCGTCAGCAAGCTCAGAAGGCAAGGGATATCCAAGCAGCCAACTCTGCCCGTCCAGCCAAGGACCACACTGGCACCGGCAAGCAGGACCAGCGCAATTCTCAAACCCTGCACCTTGGCCCAGGAGGACCCACTCCCAGAAGGATCCACTTTGACACGGCCTATGATCAACAAGCATCTGGCACACGCCAGGCTCACCACACACGTGAGACCATGCTGCAGCCTGAACAGGCCATGAACCCCAGCCCGCACGCAGGCATACCACACGAGGCTGACGCCCCACAGGCTGAAGACACAACTGCGGCCACTGATGACCACGACCGCGAGGAGGATGGCGAGATGACCCTCACGGTCGACTTCTTTTGAGCCGCGGCTGGCAGCTGAAGGGGAGGCAACAGCCCTAGAGGACCAGCCAAGACGGCAAACCGAGCACCACCTTTAGGAAAAATACATACATACATACATACATACATACATTCATTCATTCATTCATTCATTCATTCATTCATTCATTCATTCATTCATTCATTCATTCATTCATTCATTCAT